TTCATGATAAGACGCGTCAAATGTTGTCATATTAGGTTTTTTCTTCGGGTTGCTTAGTTAGCCGACGAAGGCCTGAATCAACCCGATTAACCACAACCACCACCACCACCACCACAACAACAATAACAACAACAACAACAGCGGCAGCAGCAGCGACAACAACAGCGATAGACAATGTGTGACCCTATGGAACATCAAATAATAGTAACAATAACTATTATAAGAAAAATATTTTAAATAAAATAAAAGAATCGATGCACAAGGCGGGAGAAAATTTTATGGTAGTTTGAACTGCAACTAATATCTTTATTATTGCCTATGACTGTCGACTACATCGGCAACAACAAATAAGGTCAATTCAGGTTGTACTATTGCCTAGCGAGTGAAAAAATATCCTGGTGCCGGAAACTTCATGATGATTACTGCAACTTAGATACATGAGAAATGCAGCTATGTGTTATAGCAAGCTTATACCGAGTATACACGTTATAGAATCTATTAGCGGACTGTGTGTCTTGCGAAAGAAACTGAATTGATATGAGGCGGGCGACTACATAAAATATAGAAGCGCGCTTCACAACAGTAAAAATGACTATGTGCTTTAGACCCTATAGTAAGACTGGAGCGTGTTGGCCTCCACTAGATACATAAATGTGCCCCTGTGATAGCCTAGTGAGTAACGCACGCATTTTGCCTGCTAATCTTAGGGACACGTTGTGGTCTAGGTTCGAACCCATAGGGCATAAACAGACCGACTTCGTTTCGTGCTGGAAGCCAGCCAGCCAGCCAGCCGTCCGTCCGTCCGTCTGATGAAGCCATGCCTGACGGCGATATCGGACGTAAAACTTGAAACGTAGAAAGATTCTTGAGTATGTTACTCCGTCGGCGCTGGGTCCGGCTTGTGGGTTCCAGAGGACTTACACGTTTGCTCTTACTATTGTAACGTGTGACGTTCCCCCGGGTACAGCAATGAACTCCTCAATCAACGCTGATTCATTGGTTGAACAACGGCTATGATCGATAAACGTACACTGGTATATCTTTATGACTAAAACAAAAATTAACGAAAACTCCTGTACTATAGATATATATGTGCATTCGCACCTATGAAGATGTTTTTTTGTTTCATGAATACGTAGAAGCGGCCCCGCTCATCTCGATCAGTGTTGCCCGATAAATACCTGCTGGAGTTAGCCCGAAATGTAGCTGCTGCCAAAAAATACGTTCATCGGTCACGTTTGGCCCGCATGCTATACTGCACACAAACTATTGTATGCTGAGTGCAATAAAATTACTACTGAATTATGATCCGTTGTTAAATGGCGTTCGCGCCGAACAAGAAACGCGGCCATACGTATATACCTGGAGGCACGATGAGCCAAGTTGACGCTATGAATCGGGGCGTTCGACGCGGTTGCGCCCTCTACATCACGCCACGGAACGCTATTACACAGTAGACATATTACACGTATAAGCGAAAAATGGCATAGGGAACAGATGAGGGAAGACACAACGAGAAAGCAGTAAGACAAAGACTCTGAAAGGTTTGAAATCATTTGAAGACGATGATTATGCTATTGTTGTTGTTGTTGTTGTTGTTCAGCGGTGGTTAGAACAGCGGACACTTTAGATGCATCTCAGGGGGGTGATGGAGGCCAATTGAATCCCAAAGCACGCAGGTGCCATTAAGTTAGAGCAAAGAAAAAATTCTGTACTAGCAGTTCGTTGGAGGAGGACGATGCCATTTCTGTCCAATGTACGATGTCTAGCGTGCGACATCGTGACACGATTCTCCCCAAAAATCTATCTATTGTTGTAAAAGACAGCTTGAAAGTGAACAGAAAAACCCCAAAAATTCACCCAGGTTAAACTCAATAAACAATCTGACGCCGGGCGCCGCGCCCATGGAAGAACATACATCTGTTAAACCGACGAACAGCGAAACAAGCGTATGACATAAAGGAAAGAAGCGGGATATTAATAATGGTCGTAATCATGGATGCTGGTTGACAGGATTGGAAAAGCGGATTCAGAGACACCGCGCGTTGATTGTACATACAATACGCCTTCAACCCCCGTTGTAAATAAGATGAGAATATACCAATTATGATGGTGACGGTGATGATGATGGTGATGATAAAATAATTATGAAATTATTATGATATGAAAAATAATGATGTTACAATAAAGCTAGAAAGTGACAAAAACCAGAGAAGCTGTTGTAGCCGTGGGAAAAAAATTAAACGCGATGATAGGTAGAGGAAAAACAAGGGAGGAACGGACGAGGGGGCCTGAGGAGAAACACGAGATCAAGGGAGAGCGAAGGGAAAAACGTAAAAGAGCAAAATAAAAAGAAGTGATGGCTTATTTAAAAAATAATTTATTCACTTTTACCAAAATTCTTGTATCTATATCTATATATATATATATATATATATATGTATATATATATATATGTATATATATGTATATATATATGTATATGTATATATATATATATATGTATATCTATATATATATATATATATATATATGTATATATATATATATATATTCTTAAATGGCAGTTGTAATAAAATCGTATAAGCTAAAAAAATGTTAGAAGTGTTCTCATTTTCCTTTGATGCGTTAATTATTATTAAAAGACAGTTATCAGTAATAATAATAATAGTAGTGAAAGATATAATAGCAAGAGAACCACTATAGAAACAAAAGCAGACATTATAGTAGAAGGAATAGTGAATTGTTTTTAAATAGATTTGCTGTGCTATAAAAGCTAAAACCATTGTTACTGCACACATGAATATGGAATTCTAAAAAATAAGTAATCGTTATGATTAGGTAATAGTGAGATAAGGTTCCACAAAAGGTCACCGTATCTTCCTCATGTTCCCCTAAATAAGAACAAGGTAATTTTCTTCTAAAACTTACGTTTGAAATCTTCCTCTCGAAAGCCTACTATCCTCATTTCCCATATACACTGTCAGCTTTTGCTCGGGAGATAGAACTGTCACTTAAGACCTTCGACGGAAAAACCGGGTACTAGAATTACAGAACCTATATAATGGTGGTGATCTTCGAGCGGGTTTTCTAATTCAAGTCCTTAGGCCACATTACGGCTTTTGCAGTGGTCTCGATCCTTCAAACTCTACTCTTTGAGCGAGTACAGCAGTGACAAATTGGTGTTTCACTATGACCTCCCTGGTACAAGTAATTTCATCAATCCTGGATCCATCTCGCCGGTTCTTTCGCTCTGGAGATATAGAAGCCAATTTGCTATGAATCGATTTGTAAAGGCATGCGGTTCTTATTAAAAGTACATTCAGATTATGTATTAAAGCAGACCGGCTTAGCTCTGTCGCTGGCTGGTAGGAATGAGCTCTGCGTTTGTGTAATATTGACGTAATAATTAATTCAATATAACTTGCTTACCTGGCGGGGTCTCCTTATGCTGCGGCCGGTATCTTCTAGCGTTCGGTGCGTTTAATTTCATGTTGCATCCTGTGGACCCTTTTTTGTCATTTCTCTGGGCACGTGCGGGGCGGTATTTGATTGCCTCCAAAGCTGACTAGCTGACAGCATATCTACTGGCCTCCGACACCGTCGGGATGCCTTGCGCGAGTCCTCGGCAGTAGGCCTGCACAACGATGGGTCCCATTATCCTGACGGACATCCTGCTGTCGTGGTAGCCCTTGCAGTAGTAGGGGGTTGCTTGCTCTGTCCATTGAGGTGGATGCTCACTTCCAGTGAGATATTCAAGGATCCCTGGCCAATGGTGTAAAAAGTAACGCATTTTCGTGGCTCCTTCCCAGGCGGCACATGTTTAACAGCATGCGAACATACGTGTTCTAGTCCGTATCCTCCTGTACGCAAAATAGCATGCATTCAGTCGGCGCATGGGTCTGCTAACGTTTAGGTAGTAAGACCGGTCGTGATCCCACTGACTGGTTCTATACAGTGCCTTCGTTAAGGATGAACCCTTTGACCTTCTGGCTTCTTGATGCAGTCGTATTAATAATGCAGCCACCGAGGACTGGCTAGCCGATACGCTATAATCGCTGCTTTAAGAACGCTATTTCTAATAGCAGGCAAACGGGTTGGACGGTCCACAGCGCGGATTTCGGGTTCACACATAACGATCTGGAAAGGGTCTGCTGGTCAAGTTCACCTTGCCCCTGTTCTGGACCCCGGTCCTAATCCTAAGTCAGATCCATGGGCTGTGCTCACTGGTATTCCCTTCCTCAGATCAATGGGTATTTCTTCGGTGTGTTACTGGAAGAGGGTGTCAAGCTTCTCCAACCCAAAAGCTCGAACCAGTGAAACTAAGTCTTAGTATGAATGGGCTTTAGTCACTGTGATAAAGCTAGCAGAAGTAACTAACCTTGTCGGACATTTGCCAGGAATACGCTGAATCTGAGCTTAACCTCCAGCTCATTTAGCAGTGCTGATTTAGTGCATACAAACGGTTCAGACGACTCCCTGTTTCTCCTATAGCTCATATTCCCCTTAAGGGGAAGTGCTTGTTCCGCTTTTTTTAAAGGCTTTTTTATGTTTCCCCTGCAGCGATCTTAAAACACAAGCGACTCTCTGCAAATATTGGATCCGCTTTCTTGCGCTTTGGGTTAGTGGACATTTTCGTTTCTCCGCGAGTTGCTCGTACTCCCCAACTTATCGCCTTGTCTTTTTTCTCGTTTAACACGATCAGGGGGACTTCTAATCGCCCAGCCGTTTAAGTAATTTCGTCACGTCGCCAGCCAAACGACGGCTGTCATCAAAAAAGAAAGTGGGTAGACTCACCTTTATCGTTAGCTAGCAGGAACAAGCTTTTGATAGTCGCCTGCTCTAGACTTCTACAGAGATAAACTTGTACTCATTTATATATGTATATTATAATAATTTCTGAGATATTTATACATATATTTATTTATTGCCTGTTGTTCTTTTACTATTTATTTATGATTTTTTAGTGTATTTGTCATTTACATATATTTCCCGAAAGCGTCGCATCATTACGGGTTGAATGCAAGTAAACTTGAACGAGTTCATGCTGCTTTCATTTACTAGCTACATAGCAGGGACATTCACTGCAACAGATGGCTCTAACTTACGTACAGTTTCACGTTTTGATAACGTGTGTGTGTCACAGGCAGCAACTATAAAACGAAATCTGAAAAGAGCAAAATTAACAGCGCCTAATTTTAAACATTATAAGTCTAGAGTATCAATACAGACTTTGTAATTTTCTACCCACTAACGCGTAACGACTAATCGAATTATCAACGTCTCTCTCGGTCACTTCCAACTCCTCCTGACCTACAAGTGTAACAGCTTGTATGTATGCACTTCCTGCAAATCGCCCTGCTGTAGAGAGGTCCTACTTTTGAGCCTAGACCCGGAGTTGAATTTTTAGTGATACGATCTAGTCTGTTTGATACATGGGCTCTGCCATTCAAATGTGCTTGTCTTTCAGTGAACGTCGCAAAAGGAAACTATAATTCCTCTAATAGTTTACTAAATCTACTGTACCTAGATGTGGGGGAGGAATGGCCTACAAGAGAGTAGCTATAGAACTCTATACCACTAGCGGTCTGCAGTGTAACAGGAACGCTCGTTGAGGAACGCGGAAGTTCGCTTCTATCTAAGCCTTACGATCGGTCGCTTCAATATCCATCTGTGAGTCGTGGCGTGACTGCCGACTGATGGATCCAACTGGGTGATGGCACTTCAGCTGGATTTGTCCTGGCTGTTTCATTGATGCTTGCTAGCTCTTCAGGCATAAAGCGAGATGGACGTCGATGAACTTGAATGCACTCTGGCGAGCAAATGCTGCGATCGAGCTTTACTTATGACTTCCTTCAGCAAATCTGGATGCCTATGAGTCTCTCGATGTGGGGTGCAGGCCAATTCTCGCCGAATGTCTGAGAACCTGGCAGAAATTCGTTGGACGAGTGAAGGGGTCTTCAAGCTTGCTAGGCCGTAGACCCTGTGAGAACCGAGCAGCCTTTTGAGGCAACCTAATGCTTCTTCGTTTCTTATTAGAGCTTTCGACATTTTTTCGTTTACTCATTCATCGACACTGTTCCCTACGACAGCTGCATTCAAATCAGTGACATCACTGAATTCTCGGTTCTGGTGTGGACCGTAACGGAGTTTTAACGATGTTATTTCTCCATTTGTACGAAAAAGAGCGTAGTTTTCCAAGGCAAATTATAAGATGAAAATATTCTTCTGTCATGCCATACACTGGTGAACATACGTAGTTAAGATCCGCAAACTTTTGTCATCACGTATATTCGATCCTCATGTGACGAGGCGTGCTTTTAAAAAATAAGAAATCGTTCAACCAACGAGCTGAAAAACATGTGTTTGTGCCCTCTGCTTTCAGCAAGCCATTCGAGTGCCTTAGCTGCGCTTAATTCATCGAGCAGTGGTGGATTAGAAGAATTAACACATATTGTTTACGACAGTTCGCCTCCAACCGAAGTATGCTCCACACTGCAGCCAGCTCCGTTCCACTCATCAAATTTTAATTTTGATATCTTCACAGCCTATGAACAACAGCAGAACGGCCTTTCACAGTTCCCATCGCTACATCAGCCCCTGCCATCTCTAAATACTTTCGCTACAAGTGCAATATCCCTCCGAGATACGGTTCGCCAGTCCCAAGACATAAAAAATGGTACGTATTTGTTGATCTAACATTTCGATACGACAATAGGTGTTGTGAGGTACGATTAGAAACACACAAAACTCTACTCGAGCTCAATTGCAAGAAAAACATTAACAACGATTTATCTAACAGCAAAATTTAGAGTATCGATTAGGCTAAGTTTGCGCCGCCGAGCCAACTTTGTTCCAGATTATTCTCTATTCTGCTAATAAAAGAACTATTTGCATTGCTATTGATTGCAAAAGAAAGACTTTTCATCCTGGCAAGCGTAGTATGTGATGACGTTTTGCCTCTACGACTTCGACGAAGAAATAAGATCTGAGAACGTTTAGGATAAAGATGCCGATTTAAGCAGTGGTACAAGGTCAGCCCCACTGACCGTCTGTTGTCTACGAATCATTGCTCTATGGTAACTGAAACATCTTTTGAACTTCAGAGATTAAATGTATACGGATTATAGGTAAGAGTAATAATAATTTCCCAAAATTAACCTATCTATCAAAAACTAATCTTGGTAGATCTGTTAATCAGAGCCACACCGGAGTCTAGATTATCATGGGTCAACTGATCAACTTGTAGTCACAGGGATACCATTGTACTTGATTACAGTTTGAAAAGCAAACAACTCAGAAGCAAAATACGACCGGAGGCTATTCTCCGCCAAGTTCCGTGACCAAGTACGGCTTCGTACAGATATTGGTAAAATGTACGATAATTCAGAGCCATCTTTTTTCTAGGTTAATATTTGGCATGTGGCCATTGGTACAAGCCTTCTATCACAACAGCCAAGGAATAATTTTTTAAAACATTTGTTCCTACATGTCGTGTAATAATGACCCGCCCGTAACTACAACCGATTTTTAATTTTTTTTTGAAATCGTCTACAAATGAAATTATCCGTTATTACATTGTTTATAGTCGGTGGTAGGGAAGATCTTTGTTTTCGGTAAACGTGAACCCAGTGCACTTTGAATAGTTACTTTAACTGTGTGATGGTAACGTGCTTGCTTGCTAAATCTAGAGACACATGAATCGGTAGTCAAGATACATATATTTAGGAACTAGTCGTCTTAATGGCAATATAAAGTAGATCTTGAATGATCTAAGACGTAATCCAAGAGCTACAGCACTTCATTGACGTCTCTGTAGGATCTCCAATCGCTATTCAGTGTCTCTATAATGACTTACTTCATCTCGTTAAGGTACCTTATATAGTTTTGGTTACCCTTAATTTATTCATGCCGCCGTCCGATTGCAGGCTACAATGCTGAGTCAGCATGGCTTGACTCCTCGAAAAATGAAACATCGCAGGAGGATACGGCAAGTGACGAAATCAATAATTCTGTTCTAACAAGCTCGAATTTCCAAACCACGCTTCCCAAATCCGAGTCCGATAGTCCTGCTAGTGAAGGTGAAGCTACTCAGACGACCCCAGCAAACAACAAAAAGGCTAAGGTATCTCTTAGTAAATTACAGTATCCTCAATATAAGGTGGATTACGGATGTGTACATATTTATATGAAATATCTTTAGCTGGATTTTTTACCGTGGGGAGATGCCGGGTATCTTCTTCGTCCGAAAATAACAAGAATACAGAGAAGTCTTGCTTTTCCAATAATAATAATATATAGATAGTAGATTTGATCGAATAATAATAATATTAAGTGAAAAAAAAACCTTTTAGCGCGAAAACGTTTTCCCCTTAGTTATTATTGTCATTATCGGATCAAACCTAATATTTCTATTTCATTTTCGTAAAACTAGAATTTCGTAGGTAGAGCTCTATAGAAAGTGTAGCTATAGACAGTGAATGTAGCCACCATTCGAGAGTCTAGCTAAAGATATCCTTCATAAAAATGTATATATATATATATCAAAATCATCATTTAGTCCGCTGGCTAAATGCTAGAATCGTTGCGAGAGCTAATTTTATGCAGTTATGACGTAGCATGACATTCTCCAAGATATAGATGCACGTAGTCTTCTGTTTTCGTTTAAAATAACACTATTGTTTGTTTCAGCTTATTTTTGTTTATATTAATATCGATTATTAGTTCTTCATACCATCCTCCCCCCCACCCTCTGCTTTTATATTCTTCCGTCCTAGTGAGCGTGGGGTGGTAACGTGTTTGCATACTTTCACTGAAAGACATGTGGGGTGATCTCCGTTCGGAACCGGGCCAGGATACCCCTTCGTTCTGAGAGCCAGCCTAAAGCTAAAAACATTTGTTTAAGTTTTATATTTTTGCATTAGTGGAAGTTGAGTTCGAGACAGTTAATTAGGTATTATTATGTTTTCATAACAAAGGCTTGCAACGTGCAAGTATCACGGAAGTTTCTTAGTTCGACTGTAGAATCTAATTTCATCGTTTTATGCCATTGAGTTAGACGCGTATTGAAAGTTAATGTAGCTTTCAATATGTTACCTTTCAGCCGATCCCTAAAACCAAATCAACGAGCGATAAGCCGCCCTACTCTTACGTGGCGCTCATTTGTATGGCGATCACTCAAAGTCCCACGAAAAAGCTCACACTCAGCGAAATCTACAGGTAAGCAAACAAATCACACTAAAAAAAAATAAGGAAAACGGAAAAAAATCATATCTATAAAGAAGTATCTCTATATGCCTATGTGGAGCGTCAAGAGGTATTGTTTAGTTTGAGAGCTTACCCAATCCTATGGCAAAACAGATTTTAGCATTATTAACGCTTGACGAAGATATTCCTTAGAGATTTTTCTTGATGCATATCTGAGCGTCGCTGAACTCAATTGATAATTTTTTATTTTTATCACAGTACAGCGCATTACTGGATTTGACAAGGAGGCCATTTTTATTTTTGTGTATTTCAAAGGCGATGACACCTTGCAGCACTGACTGTAAAGCCTAAAACATTTATTCTCAGACGATATAACATTAGTTATTACAACTTATTTACTTATTGTCTGTTTTGTTATTCAGCTTCATCATGGACAAATTTCCATATTACAAAAAGGACAATAAAGGCTGGCAAAATTCGATAAGACACAATCTATCACTCAATGATTGTTTTCGCAAGATCCCCCGTGAAGGCACCAGCGACGGTAAAGGAAACTTCTGGGCATTAAATCCGGCGTATTCAGATATGTTTCCAGATGGGAATTACCAGTAAGTTGAGTAAGCACAGAACTTGATAGCATCCAGTTAGGATAAGGAGCAATTATTAAACGTTGTGGCGATTATTCATCATCATTCGACTACAACTGGCATATTGGCTGGAGCATGATCTTTTAAGGAGTAATTTCGCGGTCACACAATTGCTGTCTATGGTAATCGACATTGTATTTCAGACGCCGCCGCCGCACAAACAAACAACAGCGAGGCCTTCCCTATGTCGATTCCCAACACTTTTCGGTTGATATACCAGGTGGCGCTCGGTTAGGCTATCATCTAGGTGGGGTACCCCGAGGATCTGCCGATAGCTTATACCCTACTGCACGTATGTACGATTCATACGGATACGATAGCAGTTCAACGCAGCCTGCTTTGGCGTACTACGAGTATTGCGAGTACTACAAGGGCGCCTCGGCCTTCTCATTGAACCCACAACAGACACAAGCGAGGGGAGACCCTAATAAAGGCTATGGAATCCTTCGGGTGTCAGATCAAGACAGGGTGCAAGTCAAAGGAGAAGTGTCCTTTCGAAACAATACACTGCACGGATCTGTAACAAATGGTTCATTGGTAAGTCCATATCTATACAAGTTCAATCAGTGGTTCACGATAACGGCAGCTAACCAGGTATATCGTTGTAAGCGCGTTCGCTTACGGGTCGTCAAAGTGATGCATTACAAGAAATATATCTGTCGACATAAATATTCGTTTATAACAAAGTAGACCAATGAAGTAAGTTGGAGAACTTCACCGACAAATTAATGGATAATGTCGTTACTGTAACCACTAATTTTTATTTAGTGCATCATTTAACGTCAACTCCACTGGTAGTAGGTTTTTATTACTACTAGGATTTTTAGTTAATTTACGGTGCACCTTAGTTGACTAATCTGTGCGTCAAATTTTATAAAAGAAAACTACATACTAAGTACATATGTACAGAGGGTAGGAGTTAAAACCAAGTACCCAACGAACTGACCCACAAAGCTACCTTCACCTGTTTTCTAGGATATCCGTCGAAATCCAGGAGTACCCAATATGGATTCTAATGACATGTTTCCTCACAGTTCAACGGCATACTCATCTAGTTTTGTTACAGCTGCGTACTCCAGTATTAGCGTAGGACCGCCGCCAGGATGTGCTTATGGGACGACAACAGAAAGTAACATTTCACCCATTCCTCTAGAAACCCCCATAACAGGGAAAACCGCATCGTCCCTCGTTGTCAGCCAGAGTAACCTACCCGTGCACAGCGAACTCGTTTAGTTGATGACCTAAATTGTTGAAGTCACTGGTTCAATCCCTTAAAACGCTTAGAACCTATTGAAATCTCATTATTGTAAATGCGTAGCTGACCAAATGCCTATGTTGCAACGCGTGCTGCTCGTCGTCGGCATGGATCATCGTTTACTGCCTATCTCCATATGTATATAAATAATATACTACGGAGTCAGCAATTTTGCTACTGAAACATGGAACATTTTTTTTTATCTTTCTCGATCTACGCGGTTAAAATCCCCTTTCCGTCCATAGAGTGTAAACGTATATTTAAAAAAGGGTACAAAAAGATATTGTATACGTTTGTAAATATGAAGAAGGACTAAACATCAATCACTTCGAACACATCGCATTGAATATTTAAATACATAGCATTGGGCAAGGGCCTAAAATCGACCTAAATATCGTTGCTGAAAACGGTAACAAATATATGATGATTATAAGAATGTTCCATTGCTGAATCTGAAGTTGAACGTGCAATTCATAGAAAAATAAACCGCTTTTTTTTTCGAAATTCAACTGTCGCCTTTATAGTAGAACGCTTGTTATTTATTAGGGCTTCAAAATCAGAGACAGAAAAAAGCGGTGTTGTTTATCTACCATATTTTTCTTAACTTTAGTATAGTAGGTAATAAATTTATAGGGTTGTATTCTTTCCGTAAAAATCCTTTACACTTCAACCTTTTGCAGAGATCGCTTAATTACTCTGCTTTGGCTGTTCTGCTAGTAAGGCCCATATGTCGCGGATAAATAGCTCTTCTATGTTAAGAAGGACTCATAAATAAAAATGATATATATATATAATTCGGTAAAAGAAAAAAATTAATGAATTGCTAAGCGTAATCAAGCACAACTACAACACCTATAACGCTGACCGGTTCCAGTAGTCATCAACTTCTCGATAAAAATCACCGTCTCCACGCAAAACTTGAAATGACAATGCCGTCAAATTACACTTTTATATTGGACTCGTTTATTTGAAGCAACAAAATATAAGGCGATTCACTGAACTGCGCCACTCCCAATATTTTTCTTTTGTCGTCATTTTTCGGGTGTTGTTTTTTCCTCTGTTAGTATCCGCCGTTTTTCTTCAGATCGTTGTTGTTGTTGTTGATGTTTCTGTCGTCGAAATGTATGTGATTTTATTATGCTCTGTCTTTAGTCCTCACGAAGACGTGCATTTCGACAATTACCGTTACTTGTTCTCCTTTAGTGATTAATTCCCGATTTTATGGTTTTCCGAATATTGTTGTTGGTCTACGATAGCTGACCCACAGCTTGAGGTCAATAATATGTGTGCAGGTGTGTGACAACGATCTAATCCATCAGTTCTTCTTTATTTTAGTGATGCTCTTCTTTATTCATTATGTCATTATTATTATCATCTTAATCCGCCTCTATAAAACGGTGAAAAGATAGTTGGACAGAATACACACACTTTGCTCTTTGACAGACCTGTCGCTATCATTCGGCTGGTTCATCTTCTTTACATAAACGTGGTATTATATATTATTATTACTATAAATCATCGTTTCATAAATTGTTGTGTTTTTTGCGCTTTGCTACCCAGTTTCCCTTAGAGCTTTCAGTTCCTAGTATCTAGTTTAATTATCATTCTCCTATCGTTCATCATCATTGTACCTTTTCCTCGTCTCTCCTGTGTCGCAGTTTTTTTTTCTATAGGTTCTCCATGCTGATACACTTAAGAGTCTGTTAGTTTCATTTCGTATGCTCAAAAGTGTCGCCACAGATTTGCACAGCTCCTTGTTCGGTTCCCAGTGCGGGAAAACCAAGCAATGCCGAATGTGTTCTGGCCGACGACCATCAATCTCACTCAATGAGGCAGTCTTGCGCAAGCACACGTTACAACTACACTACGTTTTCTCTTGGATAGATAGGAGTAAACGGACGCGCGATAATTTCTTTCAGTCGCATTTAGGGCTTCTTTGCTAGTTGTCTATTCGGCATTCTTACTGAATCTGTTTGTTCCGGCTCCGCAGCTACCCCGCCTTTGACCATTATAGACAGCTAAAAATAACGGAACCTGTTTTCGATTCGAGCAGCTGCTTATGTCGTCAGTTGTGAATCAAGCACTCATAAAGATGATTCATTTACAGATTTTCTCTAAATGAATTCGTTACTACAAAGCACCGTTTAGCCCATCTAATTCCGTCCTGTCACAGTATGTGAATTGTCAATCATTATTGTTACTGATCGCGGTGGGAGCGGAAGATGCAGCACTGAAAAACAGGCACTGCAATTTTACAGTGATTCGGCGAGCTCTCTCTAGCCGAGATGTGACTGCGAGGCCGCCATAAAACTCATTAGTCCATACGTATTGGGATCAAGCGACAATGACCGATTTCAGCTGACATCAGGGCCACTATGTGTGTGCAGAAACTGTTGTTTCCTCGTCAATCGCTGATGATATTGCTGTTATCGTCCTTTGCAAGTATCCACAAGTGGCTATTTTATTGTATATAAATAAGCAGTACAAATCAATGTCCTCGTGCGGAGTATAGTTCTTTCTAAAAAGAGGCTCGTAACGAAAATGTGTACAATCATACAGGGTCGTATCGTATTTTGGTGGGCTGATTTCGTGTGTCTGGATTAATCTGCTAGTTACTAGCTTGAATAGAATCTAACTTCACCAGTTAGTAGTTATGTAATATAGCGTTTTGATTACGCAGCCGTACTGTCCGTCGGCAGTAAAATCCTAGCGATCGGAACACGGATGCATCTCGAGGAGGTGGACCGTCGTCTTCATAAGACCTCCGTTTCGGCACGCTTCCAACGTGTTCCAGATCCGTCTCCTGCCTATCTCCTGACCGACCTCGTTTCAATGACCGGGTTTACCGTACATCAATCACCGCTCTTTTTTTTTTATAATCGTCATTTTTGTTTTTGACGCTCTCATTAATGCACTTTTTACGGATAATAATAATAATAATACGTAATGAAGCTGCACACGATACATGCGCCACGTTTGTTCTATTCTTATTTTCACACATAAGTGTGTAAATATCGTATTTTCTTCGTAACTGTTAATATTATTAGCATTATCATATAATAATGGTTCTTATTTTTGTTGTTATTATTATTTTTCTTTTTTGTGCACATGGAAAAATCATTCCGACCATACGTCCCCGTTACAACAATGTTATTGTTATATTTACTACGCTATTTCAATTATAATATCGTGTGTAATAATATTATTAATGACAGTTATTATCATTTTACTCTATCGTTATCCTATCTTCTGTCTCTCACGAGCAAATGGGCTAATGCAGATATTTTTTCTATATATATATATATATATATATATATATATATATATATACACCGTTAATGTAGTTGATGTATCGAAGAGTCATCGACGGGCGAAGCGGCAGATGTCGAACTTTCTAAACCCATAATGTGTTTATCGTTTAGATTTAAGTCTTTGTGTAACGACGACTTGATGATAACTAAATAATGTAAAGCAGTTTTGGTTAGAAGCCACGCATAGCGTCCAGCTAATTAATAGGCGAAATGTAACTCAGACAAGAGTTGAAAGGATTGGAAGTGGCGTGTACGAGCTTATGGTGGGATGTACACTCTGTGGCTAGGGCACCATCTTTATAATGTACTTCGCTGTTTGTAAGGGTTTAAGACTATCCGCTACCTAACGCTACCATCAGCAGACACTCATTCAATCTCTACTAGCATTATCTACCATAATTTATAAAAAATATATTAATAATTCGAAAAGGCGAGTGAAATATTGAGACGTTCTTTAAATACTGATTATTATTATTATTACTGAAGAGAAATTCACTGAACGAGCTCTCATCAAATTGTTGGAGACAAAGCTACACTTGCTTAAACATTGCAATGCTGGCAACCATAAAATTGGTGCTATGCTCATGGGACTCTTGCCCCACCCCCCCCTTGACCCTCACCCCGGGGGACTGCAGAACGATGGAAAGACCGGACTTCGCGCAGAGACACAGATCTATGATGACGCTTTGAGCAGTTATGAACAGAAGTCTGAAGAACTGTGTACAACGAGCGGACTGATATTAAAAAAAAAAACTCCCTTAACAAGATTAAGCAAACACTACGAACTGATAGTATAGTAAACAACAAAACATAGCGGGTTTCTAATAAACGAGACTACCAAGAGGTCGAAACTGATGACAAAGCACCAAATGAATCTAAATCACAATTAATTTAAATAAATAGTTCTCGTTACGGGCATTATTGTTCGTCAATCCTAGGATTCCCTTCTGCGCCTGTATTGAGACAAACTAAAAAAAAAGAGATCAATCATTTAGAGCAGAGAAAGGAGCACACTTAATGAGGCGGTGTTATTACAACAAGAAGTAGCCAATGTTCTTTCCAGCCAATCTTGAGTAAAAGGACGTCTAATAGCAGTATCTAACCGATGGCATAGTCATGACACGCCCTTCAGCAGCTTGTTAAGTACTCAAGAAAGCGCCGCGAACAAACTCAGAGACGTACCCGCACATGAAAGAATCGTTCCGAATCATTAAACCCAAGGGGAACTATCATCCTGGCATAAGCCATACAGTGTCGGCATAGGCATAAAGCGCGTGTCCAAGCAATAACGTCGATAACATGGTGTTTTCTTCTTAGTGCAGAATTCGTACTCGACCCGGCTAGACGGTAGAACGCTACAAACAGCAAAAGGTATCAATACATCCACCAGTAGGAGGAGAATGTTTGCTGAGAAGTATTGCACAACGGAATGTACTTCTTTTTTGTTACCACGTCGTTGCTCGTTGATGACACCGAACAGCCTAAATTCATTTATTTCGTTTGCCGTTTCCACCATATAATGTTGCTATACATAGAACGAAACAAGGATCAACATATATCTATCTATAACCGTGTTCTTCACGGGACAGCCATAGTAATCCGTTAACTAATCTATCTGACATAAACACCATCTATTAAGCATTCACAAAAGTGGCGTTAGTCATAATATTATTTATGATGGAAAACAGGCGTTACTATTTCTACGAAAGTATTTGAAGCATATAATTATAATATCTCTGAATTGCTGTTATTCTACAATACTAATGATCCGATATTCAAAACAAAGTTAAAAGCTTTCATCATGTAAGACTGCCACGATCCAGAAAGATATCGTTGTGGAGGTGCAAGTGTGTGCCATCATCGGCGAATGACCTATACGGTCGTGTATATCCCACCGGTCATATAGGCCTGCTAATCATGTATTTAGGTTTTTTTTCCCGTTATAAGAGAGTACACAACATCTGTCCACATCCTGTATAATCAACCAGAATGAGGTGAAAATGAAACTTCGTTACAAGTTGGAGTAGCCTGGGACGGAGGCGTGCTTACAGCGCCCGTTCCTTGAAAGCTTTAACGACAAAATCGACAACGCATAGTTGACTCTTTGTTACACGCAGTCTCTCTGCCTGGAAGGAGCCCTTCGTGTCTCGTTTGTTAGCCATTCGGCACTTCCGTTTTGTTTTCCTTCCAGGTCGACCACCGCACACAATGATCTTAGTGTTTTTATTCATCGCCTAGTGGATTCTATTATAAAGCGTTTGAATGTGTGCCTAGCGTGTGTTTGTCTGCCTATATAATGAGCTAGTGAATTAAAACAGGCAACGGTTTCCGCTATCATTAGTGTAACGTGTTGCCAGCTTACAGATTTTTTGACAGCCCTGGGTAGTCAGGGCACAAAACTCGCTATGTGTCATCTATTCATATATGGAAATTGGCAACCGGAAATCGTTACTGGGAAAAGAGCTACTCCGTTTCGTCAAAAATCTAACCCACGAGTTTATGGATTCGATAGTCGAAAATTTGGTATCTGTCTGGGATCCTTACCGATCGTGATCTGCCAGCAATATCGAAGTCGCTGCGCGAAGTACCCGCAACACTTCTACTCGGCATTCTTGTGTGTGGATATCCATCGGAATCAGAAATCACATCATGAACGTCATCCGACGACGCTGCTTGCGTAATGTTGTAACTTTTACATTTGAAATCGGCTTCTGAATGTATCCGAATTATTGACAACATGACAGTTAACGCAAGTTTCAATTCAAGTGAATTGTCCATTTTTCACTGCAATAAAATATATGTATTTGCTCAAAGGGGGTGACCAAATTACTATTTAATACAACACAATTCGTAATAAAAATGACTACCATCTTCGCTGGATGGTAATTTGTGCATCATTATGGTCATAAAGCCATTCACAATATCTTTCTATTCTTACAAATAAGACGCTCTCCATCATCGATCGTCGGTCCACCCACTATGTATAACCTCTATATACGGTATCTACGTTTCACTACATCATCTTCATTTTTTTTCTATCAAATTTCTATACCGGTAACCTTATTACCACAGAACATACACAAACAATCCCCCTGAATTATGCGAACGGGTATCGCCTACGCATAAAAATCATCGGTATAAATATGGCTGTTACACATGTCACCAAAGCACCTCGTGAGGTTCGTTTTTTCCGGTAGCCCTACAAAGTCAGATCGCAACGGCCGAACAGGGGGTACGGGGACGGACCTCCCATCTTCGGCCTTTGCGGGAAAGAAAACTTGCCGCAATAGGCCACATAGACACTACTAAAGACAGTAGCACAAACACTTCGGAGAATACAAACTACGTAATGTTTGTTTGAGTTACGCGGTGGCCATTGTGTAACAGTCTAGCTTCATTCGCATTCGCATTCTAACACATACTAGGCTAGTGGCTGTACGTAGCATTCAAGTTATGCCGTTTTGGAATTTATTTTTTACTTTCTCTTTCGGTTGACGTTCGTTTCGCTTTCCGTTTCAGGCAAACGAACTTAATAGTAGCACTGAACGCCTTATCGTTTCCTTTCGTTTTATTTTGCCGATCTTGTTTTTGTTTCTACTGCACATCATCGCGACAGCTTAACTCTTACTGTCCTGCCTCGTCGGCCCCGTCCCGGCTTCCTCTACGCCGTCGGTGAAGATTGCGCACCTGCTCCTGTTTGCGAGCTCGCAGAACTACGTCTTCGAGAGTTTCTGCTGCCTCGTACTTCCCTTGCTTCCGGTAGATAGCGCCGAGATTTTTGAGCGTAGTGGCCACCGTAGCGTTATCAACCGTCGTGCGGTACTGGGGCGTTTGGGACAGGTTCGAATCGATTGGAGCTCCTGGAGCGCTAGCGGTGCCGCCGGTCATATGCTTGTTCAGTTCGCGCTCCTCGGCCAGCTGCCAGATCGGCTTGTTGTTGGTGTCCATTGGACCGAACTGACGCTCGTGAGCCCGCGTTAACACCTAGAAGAGCAATAACAAACAGAACGATACACGCAGCGTTACCGGAAATGATTCGTTCACTAAAAGTCTCCTCGTGTTCTGCTCGAAGGGCTAGAAAAAACGGTCTAAGTACGCGGGCAAACTAATAAGAGAGAGACTAAGGTTACTTTTGGTTATTGTGGAATAGACCAGCTTCTAAAATGACTAAACCGGCGATAATTATAAGTAGCAAAGTGAATATATCTTAAGATATCAAAAACGGGTAACATCACTATTTTTTTTGGTAATCTTTTTATTATCACATTTGCTAGCCTAAAAATAACATCCCCGAACGGGAGTTTCATTGCTTTGCTTCTTATATTTTGCTTAGCTCACAACTGATACTATGAACGCTTGAAACAGGCAAATTCTGTCTCTTATTGTGGCAATGCGTTTATTCTGTATGTCTTATTTACTCTAAGCAAAGGTGATGACATACAGTAGTAATAGATTCAAATAAACAGTAATACATCATAAGCATATCTATATCTAAAGTATGCCTATATATATATACAAACATGAGTATGGATGAATGAAATGCACTATACAAACACACAAAGTATTTTAAATTCATCCATGCTCATGCTTGTAGCCTGCATGAAGGTCACCGTACGTGAAACTACTAGGAACCAGTAAAAATTCTGGTGTTCGACGCTTTCTTTCGTTTGAGCACTAGAATATGTTTCATGCTGTTAAAATCCTTTTTTTTTTTTTTTTTTTTTGCATTCTGACGTTCGAAATCAATAAATGCATATTGTGCAAAGCGAGTGCGTGTATATATGAGTGCAAGACTGTAACAAGGTAGCAAGTATAGCCCCTTTGTAAGGTCATTATTTACTGAAAACGAAGATCAGAAAATAGCCCCCCTAACAGATTGAAGTTTATCATTATTTTCCGTGCGTGCCAAGCTAATCGTGTGAAATGAAATAATCGCAAATAAACACACAAAATAGATTTTGTTTGCTTAGAACAAAGTAAAACAATTTATTTTCTAATATGTCGCTACAAGTGAGTTGTCATTTTTTCTAGTATTGCTAGTCGCCCGTATTGCAACGATATACTAACCTACATTGCACAAGTTTGTTTGTCCAATAAGTTCAACGTCATCATTGAGGCTAGTAAAGTAAAGTATTCCAATGTTTGCCGTTATCAACAATTATTTACTGTGAATTAGCTTGTTGCGCAATTCTACATGAAATCTAATAGCCATAAATACATAAAATTGTGCTTCGGACTTTGTATACGAAAAGGGAGGGTGGAAAGCATGACATCTTCAAGAGTTTTTAGCAGAAAAAGATGCCGAATCAATGTAAACAATCATTTGTCAAACAACAAGCTACTATATTTGACTACGACAAAATTGTTTGTCGTAGTCAAATATGATGAGCTCGGACAACAGGTGTGAGACTATGATCAATATAAACGTGCTTGTGTGTATAAAACTATAGTGTCTACATCCATAAGCCAGCCTTTTAAACATTACACAAATGGACACCACGCACCATGACGTCTTAGATATATATACAGTCATAAAGTATTTGGCCAAAGGAACGTTGCCAAGCTCCATGGCACTCAACTTCTTTTTTCTACACTTGGTGGTCATAGTACACCAAATGGGAGTTCACAAATCTCCAGGACCATACGTTGAAGTAACGCTTTTTTGTTTACACGGGAGAATGACCCAGAAACGCTTGCTTATTTGTTTACTGCACCTGTATACGTCTGAACAGAGTGTTCGAAAAGGCGGGAACAAAAGTGAGTCCGCTTTCTACAGGAGCCACTTAGTTCTTAAACGGTCGGTCCAATGTCGAATGTCTAAAACAAATAGAAAGAGGTGGAAGAAATAAGCAGATCTACTCGTCGACAAGTTCGACTAGTCTTCTGTTGTGTATTGCCTGCTTTTTGTACAATTGGAGTAACGTTCAGAGCGCTATATTGTTCCATAGTATCGGTTCACGATGTGCGGGTGGGCCAAAAGAAGGGAGCAGAATGGAGGGGAAAAAGAGAGAAAACAGGCCTTCTTGAAAGGCTCGCGCACCTTTAATGGCTGATAGAGTAGACTAGCAGTACGAATAGTGATCTAATCGAGACTTGGGCTGACCTGTTTGTAGAGTATTTCCGCTTCCTTGTATTTGCCTTGTTTGAGGTAGGCAGATGCTAGGTTGTTCTTTGTTTTGGCCACGTTCGGATCGTCTGCTCCTAGCGCTTTCTCGTAAATATGGAGAGCACGCTGGTAGTACCTGAGGGTCAAAATATGAGAAAAAAAGTACTGACAGTGAATAATATGTTCGGCGAACGTTGATGATACTTGACGGAGGATGTAGAGTACAAATAGAGCAAATGATATGTGTGCAGAAAACACAGACTAGAAGTCAGTCACATCACTGGAAATTAGAACACCATCTAGTCGAAGAAAAATCGGACATCATCTTAGCATATTTTTTTATTTTACTTTACCTTTCCACTTCGTCATATTTCGACTGATTCTGACAAAGAAGAGCCAAGTTATTTAATTGCTTGGCAACGTCCGGATGTTCTCTACCCAGAACTCGTTCTCGGATCTCAAGAGCCCGAACACACAGCGGCTCGGCGTCACGGTACTTGCCGCGTTTTCCGTATAGAACAGCTAAATTGTTAAGAGTCGCCGCCACTGCCGGATGATTTTCTCCGAGGGTCTTTTCGCGAATTTCTAACGCGTCGTTGAGGAGATTCGCCGCATCCTGAAAAGACGCGTTAAAAAGGAACAGCCAATAAGGTTATAATGAAGATATAAAATCATCCTCTACCTGACAAAGATCTGTCGAGACAAAACAATACGCGTTCGGAGATCATCTGGAATGAGTCGGCGTCGAGGTGTCCGATTTGCACATGAGAAAAACAACCATTGACAGGATTGTGTGGGTCGAATTAAGCAAGGCGTGAAAATTTATTACCGCCTTAGCTCATACCTTGTACTTATTCTGATCACGATACACAAGGGCCAGAATATTGAGCATTGTGGCAACATCGGGGTGATTATGCCCAGATGTTTTCTCCAGGTCCTCGAGAGCCTGCTTGCAGAGCGGGACCGCCACCTCGTACCTGCATAGTTGTACAATCAGTAACAGTCGAATAGGCGTTATAATGCTGTAAGAAATGCAAAAACTTACCTATTACGGTCGAAAAAATGAATAGTTAAAACGGAATCGCCTTCAGCAAATTGACCATTTACCAACTTTTTGATTCGCATCAAGATAGCACTTATAATAGTCAATAATAATAACTGCGGTGATGATGATGAACTTGCCTGCCTTGCGAAGCATACTGTATGACGAGGTTGTGGAGGGTTTTAAGGCGGGCGGGAATCTCGTAGCCCGTGATCTGTTGCTGATTTTGTTGAGGATCCTGTGACAAAGCCCAAATGTTATAAGTGAGGACCATCAGAACGCTAACAGTCTGCAGTTACAAGTACTTTTAACCACTTATAAGTGACCTCCATTGTCCCGCCCACTAACGTCTATTAATATTGCATCTAACTGTCCTGCTTTCTTAAGAGGCAGCCCTCATATAAAGAGGCGATCAAAAACGTTTTCCCACCCTTTCTGTTTCTAATCTTATATCAGAAAAGGAGTCAGAGGGACTCGGGGCAGCTAACAAGGAAACTCATGACATAAATAGTGCAGCTAAGTAAATAAAACATGTTGCCTACTTGTGTTTCATCATCCTCGGGGAATCCGAGATCAACATCGGAAACGCTCTTAGTCATCCCACCGCCGGCAATCGGCGTCGCCATCGATTCTCTACTATCTCGACCTTGTCCACTAGCGCCATCAGCAGGCACTCCTACAAGGGAAACGGCCATCATATCACCGTCTTTTGAGTCTACATCGTATTTCCGTAGTGAATTCATGAACTCGAGATGCTTCTTGTCCTCCTCAAGCTGTGCCACCACTTGTTCAGAACTTTGCAATTTCTGCTGTGTGTTAGCCAGTTCGTCACGAAGCCATGCATTCTCCTGGCACAGTCGACGTACCTGAGCTCTCAGTTTTTGCTTTTCTGCTTCGACCTGCTGTATGTGCGCTGCTAGGGCCATTATGACCTGGGCTTCTCCCAGACCCAACTCCAACGATTCCAAATTTCGACGGAGGAAGGCCATCTATAATAAAAGATCAAATAATAAACGTTATGTTTTTTCATCGTTGACGAAGTCCATATATCTTCAAAGAGATGGTACACAGGCACATTCAAGATAGTGTTGAATTTGTGTGTTTTTAAACGAGTCAATTTACCATCAAGTTCGGCTAATGCCCACCTCCATTAATCTGTGTGGTATATTGTTTTTAATAAGTCGCTCTTACCTAGCTAATTTAGAATTTCCACTGGATAAGTTAAGCTAGGCTGGCGTTGCTCGCGTTCATAGCAAGGCGTACCTTAACATTTCATAGCTTTATCCACCTTATATCTTACCGCGTGGTAAATATAAATTTATGTAACCTTACAGCTGCTATGTTAAGTAATGGTAACGTTAACATGTTTAACAAACGTTACCTTTTCGCCAATGACACTGTTGCTCGCGTCGTGAACAGTTGCCAGTCCATCGAGGATTGAATCATGTTCATTTTTAAGCTGTTCTAAACCCTGAAATGCAATATATAAGGTAAAGGTCGTCGTTTATGACTTATTCATTTCAGTGCCGTACCAAGCAGACATGCTTTTTCCATCTTTCTGCTTCAACTGTAGCCAAAACTGCCATGTGAGATCTGTGACTACGAATACTTCGCTAGAGTAAAATTGAATATCGAGTTCAGTTCGATAGTTTGTTTGGGTTTCTGTCTTCGTAGAGCTATTTGAATTCGATTAATCCTTTAGCATACACTTGAAGAAATAACGTTAGTCGAAAGAAATGCCTGCTGTAGTTTTTGACCAGCTGTTCGAAGTCATCATAGATATACTTCTTTACTTTGACTTGCGTTTAGTAATTGGCTAACCTCAAACAAAAAAAATAAGTATGCTGAGTTGGTTCATTTGAAGCTTGTCAGCGTGTCAGTCTAAATCACGAGGAAGCTATACCTGGATAACAGTCTTTGTATTGGCAATGATCTCGTCCTGGTTCATGGCAGTCATCTTGCCTATATCTTCTATCTTTCGCAGGCGATATGCTCGGAGTGTCTCCGAAAATACCATCAAAGATGGCGAAGTTAGTCTGGACTTGTTTTTTTTTAGTTGGAGTCGCTATAAAGCGACGCCGAGTTTATCGCTAACGTCCTCCCCTACTTAGGGGAGGCCGGACAAGCAGTGGCCTGGAACGTTTTGCAGCCCTGTAACAACAACACAAAAGCAGTACAATGACTAACAGGTGACAGTTGCATTATATATATAAACTTTGTTTCATCGTCTAATTATTATGCCGCCACATCGATGCTAGACGCTGCATTCTTTTGGACAATATTAACAGCTCCTTTAATTATTACCGAACATTATCCATCCTATTACTCATAGTGTCTTGTACTCATATTCGGTATAGTATAGTGGCGTTGACGTTTCCATTATAATCTGTTACTCGGTATCATACATATGAATTTTTAAACCTAATGGATATATGATTACGAGCAACCACTTAATCGATCGGCATGCACCATTTTCTGCGACTTCTCACATCTTAGACACTTTGGACATATTATCTATTTAATTTCAAAATTGCTAAGTTATCTTGCTAGTTCATTGTTAAGTATATTTACAGTACGTTAATCAGATATAAAGCGAGAACTCGAATGAATCGCTCAGCGGCAATGAGGCCATCTGTGGCCCTGGCAGCCTAACATAACCACACCATAAAAGGAATCTTCAGAAAGCTTAAACTCAATCACTAGCTTCTGTAAAGTACACAAGAAATAAGAAACAAACCCAACATTTGTATGAATGGAAACAATATTCGTTTTTCTTTTTATAGTAAAAAACAAGCACTTCTAACACTCTAAAGGTTAGACACAAACATGTTTTATATTAAGCAGCCTGAAACAAATTTTTCCTTTACGGCACGACATCTTTAGGTTGTTAAATGCAAAAAGCCTTTGTTGTTGCGGTTTGTCTGCATCGAGCAGGTGCTTGTTAAGGTCGGTTATCATCAGAGACATATTTCTATAATAATGTTTTCAGAAGACTACTGCATGGTTGCCTGATAATGGCTTTGCTACATGCGTATCTATGTTCTCACTGCTAAAATTTCTCAAAAATATCGCAATTCATATCACTCTATATATTCTAAGTAATTTTTGTCCTAGTAAGAGTCAGGACCTATCACCAAAACATCTGTTTTTTTTTTTACTAAAGAGACAACCAAGAGGACGAATGGATTAACTATAGTTATAGTGATCTGTTAACAAGCGTCTCTGATCGAACGAAAACCCTTGTAATATGTAAATGTGAATATGTAAAAAATAACATTGTTGACACAATATGCATCGCCGACTTGAACGACTCGCCATAATTCCTGTGGAGACGGGATGTCTTTGCACAGTTCTTTTATATAGGACGATTTAACATTGTCGCTATCTCTTGAGAGGCTACTGTGTTTCTCAGTATACTTAACATTTGTATGTTAGGAAATAAAACATGAAATTGGTCATTTTTGTTAATTAAAACGCATAGAGAAGCCTTTTCACCCGCGTACCACTTTAACATACGATGCAGCTCCTGGCTAACCCATCGATGTAAATGTGGGTTTTTTTATTTATCTCCCTATATTTATTTCTCGAACTTTCAAAAATATGTTTATTTAGTTTCCAAGAGAAAAGATATAACGTGTGTTGTCGCTATTCACCTATCTATAGCAAAGATGAAATCGTATAGTATTTGGAAATGGGATATGGCGTGGTTTGTTTTACCCTCTCTAATGGTTCATAAAAAATAAATAAATCGAATGCAAAATTACCTCAAATGCGAAATAGCACATCAGTGGTCATAGGCTGTCAGTATCTTTCCAGTAGAGATACATACAGACTGGCTAGGATTGCAGAACAACATATTTTTTAACTTTGCGACCACATGATTTGCTTACCATATTTGTGCAAAGCTACCATTCTTAGAGTTTGCAGTCGAGTTTCAAAGCTTACCCTGTAAAATAATTTTTGCAAGCCCACTTTAGCCCAATAGCTATTTGATTGTTATTTCCAGAAATCATCGTGATTTATCTCATCCATATTTCGCTCAAACATGACTAGATTTTAGCGTTGTTGTTCATTGAACTACATTGGATTTTCTACCTTTGCAACAGTACTCAGATTTTCAACTCATTCGTTTAGTCGTCGGAACGCAGACACGCATTTAAAGTTGTGTTTCAAGGCCATACGTGTCTTTTTGCATCGGCTTCCTTCTGACACCATTTTTCACTTGATCTACACTGATAAATTAGAATATTGTCTTGCTAGTGCTTTCTTGAAATAACGAAACATTTTGCTATACATACTTCCCATGATTGCGGACCACATATGTTACGTCGTCATTATACATCTGCCATTACGTGCCCAATCGACAAAACTGTGGGCACAAACAACCGGAATGCGCTTATCAGTTTTCTTGCTCAGCTTGTCCAACACGTGCTGCGCCAGCTTCCCCTGCATTCATCGTATGAACAGTCTTCATCCATCATCTTCTCGCACACACATATGTATATATATCTTTTTTCAATTCTACCTGTTTCTAAAAACGCCGCCACCATGTTTTTTATTTACATACTGCGTTCTTTCTTCTGCCCGCATTTCTAACCTCTTCTTTGGCACCGCTAAAACTACGTTTGCTTATCCTTGGCTGCCTTTTTATCTACAATCACAACGACCAATACAACTCTTCATATTACTGATCTTTTTCGCTACCAAAGCATCGGTTCCTTCTCTGTGGCTTGCCTGAAGCTGAATCGATAGCAAACCAACGTCGACTACTTCGCTCGTAGATTCGTCCGCTACGAGAAGCAGATGAACCGTTCTGAAACAGCACCAGAAACTGTTCCCGCTGAAGTCGGCCATGTTACAATGTTATGTACATAGATTTGACGCCGTGCTTGCCGTAACTCGCGAGTAGCAATTCAAATGGCTCGGTTGTCCAGGTCCCATAGATAACCGCCCACGGCAGCCACGACGAACAACTTCGCCAACGACTACACAAAACCAACAGCGGCAGCAACAGCAGCAGGAGTCATGGAGACGCCGTCAACTACGCTTTATCAATGATGCCCGTTCACGACGATGTTCACGTTGCTTTAGTAAGCCTCCCAGCAACCCGTGTGTCTGCCGCCAGTATTTTACTAGCCGCTGGTACCCGGCTGAAGTCTAGCAGAGGCGAGCCGATGTAGCAGCTAAGGAAGAGCCGGTTCGCTCGAACGCCGACATGTAGCATTTGTCGTTTCGTGTTTAACTGTGAAGAAAACAATGCGCATCTGAACTGCCAGCAAAAAGTGGTGCTCACGCCACAGACACTGGCGAGAACAGGGGAAGTAAATAAGCTAACTAGCAGAATGGTTAGCTTACCGATTTACCGCTCGTGATCTGATAACTTCTGTCTGTCTAATAGCTAGGCATTATCACACCATAAGCATATACCAGTATGATTCTTGTTGAGGTTGCTGCAGCTGACTAGTAAATGGCGTCGTAATAAATACTATATAGTAAACGCCGACTGTCTCGTCATCGTGTCTCGTTCAACTCAAACAATGAAAAAAACAAAAGGGAATTTTAAGCACAAGATTATCACTCGCGTGCGTATGCCCGTAAGCAGTCAGCTGGAGATGTTGTATCGCAATATATATTACTAACATGTGCGTATCGTTGCAGTAGTTATTGCTGAAGGCGTTCTGAGTAATAATAATTAATAATTAACCACAGCGTTTTTGTAGCGCTGGCGCAAATCGTTAACCGCAGGGCATGTCCTGCGAAAGAAATCGATATATTCACGTATGTATGTATAGATATTTCTTCCTTGCTACTTTACGGCCAAATGTATACTATATAGCTCGACTAGACTAATTGGACTCAAAATGATGATAGCTTTTGAAGCCAATTGCGATACGTCGTTGGAATGGTTACCGGTTGAGAAAGCAGTAGCTTGTTTACGAAAAGTAAGTTTTAATCAACAATGGCAAGTTACTATAATAACGATCGATTTCATGACAACCCATAGTCAAATATCAGCACTTAACCAATCTTGAGACCATTCAAACTAATACGAAACTTGGTTTGGCGATTCGAAAGTGCATCAGTATACCACTTCACTTGCTTTTCCAGTCTAACGATTGTTGGCCTATAAGGTAGAAAACTAGAAACAATGTTAACCTGCCAGTTATATTCTAATAAGGTACTCTTTCGTCAAGTAACACAGCGTCACGTTATCATTTATGTGGGTAGCGCAGTGATACAAAAAGCAAATAGTACCTACTATACTTCTGGCACGATTCTAGGACGGCTGAAACTCGTATCATACCAAGTACGAATCGTCTGATTTTCTTTCCATGTGTAGCACGCACAGTCAGTCGTCTCAGTCATAGCCCAATTCTATTCGACGTGACGGTTATCAGTCAAAGCTATTTATGATAAAATTAGTGTTAAACGAGTAAACCGTCGGCTATAACGAGCGCAAATCATGAGGCTTAAGTTTGTTTCTCATAATAGCCTGGTTATTAACTGCATCGGCAAATGACGGTCGCTGACGTCTTCACAAGCACACTCTCAACCGGTAGACATAACTACCATGGACCATCAATGCCTTGATGGCATGTGCGCCATCGCCGTTTTCCTGACGACCGTAACAGCTGACCGGCTGGGCCAGCTGTCGCTATGTTCCTTTGTGATAGGCACAGTTCAATATGTTAGCAATTGACAGACAGGCATACATATTTGGGCATAATTCAAATGTACAGCTCAGATTCTCTTTATTTACCACGTACACAGTGCGTTGTCGTATTGAGCTGGCTGCAATTTTCTAAGACACTTATGTTGTTGTATATTGCCTAAATACACTTAAGGATCTTCTTCTCAAAGCTTCTCAAAATCATTAAACCCTTGATGAAATTGTAGTCGTTTTATAAAAGGAAATAAATTGCGTCGCGTTTATTTTTTATACTCTACGAATCACGCACAGCCAGAACATTTCCAAACCAATACTGACATACTGCTCTATTGCAGTGGGTAAAATACGCTGCAACTTCCAATTTATTCCTTTCACCCCATCTAAGAGGATGAAGAACTGTGTTTCTGATGGAAACGATCAGGTTCACTCTTAAATGCGACGCGTGTTTTATTTACTAATGACGAATTCTGTCATGTCCCCATCCTCTTTAAAGGCAGACATGCATACAATCTTCATTTCCTTTCTGAGTGCCCCTCTAAGCATACGTAATGGAACACCTAAGATCGATGCTGAATCAATTTTGGTCAAGCAGAGCCCGATAAATTTCTTTCTGCCTTTTGCCGAATCGCCTTTTCTCTGTGTTCTAGATAGTGTTAATACGGCGCGTTGCTCTTCGCAGGCCGTTTACAGCTCCATCGAGCTGCCGGCATTTTGACCAATAACATTTCATTCTCACAGAGACAGCCGTAGGTGGTATGAGCGATGATTACGACGAGATGACATGCAGCATTTTGCACTGTGCTACATCCAGTCAACATTCTGGCAGATAGAGGGGCAAACACTCGCCAGTCCGCTGTTCGCTCGCTTGCTGTGGACAGCATAGATGTGTCGACGATCTCATGTCTCCATGGATTCAAAAGCTCATAAATGAAATCAACGGGAAGTGTACGCAGCACATTTATTTCGCATAAATTGAAATATTACTATCAATCAAAGCCTGTAACCTATGCCATCAATCTTTCAACCATTCACTTCGATACACAGATCAGAGCCGATAGGATTACTTTGAGCATTACAACGTCAAAATATCATAATTCAAATGTGGCTGAGCTTATGATTGGTCCACGATGTCCGTTTGAATAAGGCCCTTAGTTCTAGGGAAAAGCAGAAAGCAATTACAAACCGTGTGATCTATTTAATTACGCATCGAACTGATCATGGTTTTGGTTCCATTGTTATTCCAAGCTAAAAGTTTTTACCTGCTGCTAGCTTTGAATGCCTTCGTTAACGTTCGCTGATGAGTCTGTTCCAGTTGCAACTTGTGTATCCTGTCTCTCTCAACGCACACAAATAGACACAATCTTCGTCGTATTTGTTCGTGTTCAACTCTCGTTGCTACACTTGTACGTTCATACCCCGCAATGGCCAGCAGTCAGTTGCATAGAGCTCTCTCACACTTTCTCACTGTCTCGCTCTCTTTTTTCTATGCTGATATAGCCTGACTTGGAATCAACCAGCCGCCTCTGGATAGTAGCAAACGTATTCGTCGGCTCCGACCCGTACGTCAACATTACGTGTACCAATGACTACGTATGATCATAGCAGCACACCAATAACAACGAGGACCCACGGTGGCGGCTGGCAATGATGCTGTTGCAGTCAACCTACCAGCAGGAATAGGTTGTCTTCAGGCACAGGCTGGGTGGCTCACAGCGGCACTACAGCACTAGCCAAGTCACTTTCTTGAACCTACTCTGTCTTTTACTTTTTGTCTTCCGCTAAGCTGCAGTGTCACCGGCGTAAAAAAATACCGCACCACAATACTGTAAGTATCGATCGGCAGCACTAGCAGCAGCACTATAACGACTACTAACGCAGCTAGTTCGCAGTATTGCCTTGTGTACGTCTGGAAAACGGACGGACGACTGGACAGACAATTGCTAACTCTCTGGCTAAACAACACAACACGAGCTAACTCACCCAAACAGCAGCGACAACGGCCGTAAGAAACGGCCAGATTCTCCTATTTGTTATCGCTTCGGCTGCTGTTCGAGCGAACCGAGCGAAAGGCGACACCGCCACCAGTGGAACTCAATAGCCACCACTCGACCCAGTCGTTAGCACTGTCACCAGCACTGCTGCTATTATGACTAACAGCAGCGGACTGATGGCAGCAGCAGCTGACAGTGGGTGGAGTATGCGGCCATATTGTGGCTCACGTCACGCTCTCCCTTCAGCAGCACCACACAGCTACAAACCGACCGTCGCCAAACGGCCAGTAGGACAGTTAGAGTGAGTGACCAACGACGTAACTGCCTGCTGCTGCGGTTGTTGTTGCATCCGCTACCACTCAACGCTTACCGACTGACACAACGTCCCCTTTCCCGCTGACTGTCGTATTGGCAGCGGCCGCTGCTTCTAGCATCTACATAAACACGCATCACATACACAGACGACCAGGAAAAAACGTTGCGGTGAGAGGCGATGATAACCGATCATGGCGGTGGTGGCTTCGTTGGTCGCACGGCGCTGGCTGGCCGCTGCTTATTCCGGTGAATACAAACAGAACCATAACAGACAGACAGATCTCATCGTTCCCCGTAACCCTGTGTGTCTGCATTTAAAGCAGCGCGAACAGGAAAGTGAAGCGACTGGAGACAAGTGATTTTCGACACACATACAGGATAAGCCATAGTCAGTCATTTTCGATCACTGGCTGCTGTCCATCGTCGTCGTATGCGATTCCCTAATGACAAAAATCGCCGCCTCGGTAGTCGCAGCCTCGGATAAAAGATGATCTTGACGTAGTAGAAGAGGCGCTGGAAAGAAAACTGTTGCTCGTAACGAATCGCCCGGCCGTAATTCGACTTGCAAATCAACACAAGGCGTTCATTCGCCAGAGGAAGTTCGCTGAACGAATTGACCACGGGTATCAGTTGAGTTGTACAGATGATATAATTATAGAATGCTCTTTAAATACATTGGATTTGTATTTTTATTTGTTGCTTTTTACTAGAAAGCGATGAAATACTGCGAAATATTGGTGCATAAAATAGGGAGGGCGGTACATTAATCGAACGCGCACAGATAACATTTGTTGACAGGTTAATTCGGATGAAAAAGAACACATTGTACTTTGCCTACAGAGTTGATAGTGATATGACCAATATGGGAACTGTACGTGATTGTAACAGCGAATGAGTGTTTATTCTTATAATTGTTTTTTTAATCTTGATACATCTGATTATGATTATTCAGACCATTAATATTATTTACAACTATTCTGTTTTTAGCTGTTTTCATTTGACACCCCTGTCAATCATGTAATATCTCGGGACAGAAATAGAATGAACTGTAAAAATTAATATCGCGCGAGTGACTTGGAGCAAAAGAATTTACAAAAGAAAGAGCCTGCTGCATATATATAAGTAAGATAAGTGTAATCTTTTTTGGAGCTTTGCGAGACAATTTACATCTAATACATGTGAGTGCCGGCTCGAAATAAGAGGAAACCCGATGCTGTGGGCGGTAGGGAAGGGACGCTGTAAATAATTTTATGCGCTACTGACCCCAGGGACACATTTTTTCGAATTAAATAAATGCAGCGCCTAAAACTAAATGGTATACTTCTATCATAATCTTGTTAGATATACATTCTACTCGGTACTATATATACTGTAGTCATGCGCACCAACGAACGTACATTTAAGCGTTATGGTGTTAACTAATAAACAAAAAAATAATTAAAGATCATGAAAAGATTATTCATTCGATATGCAGTGATGCAATCCTGACTATTATCTGATTGAAGTATTACGTGCTAACGACTTCATTTTCCATTCTAGATGATTTTTTTGTTCATCTCGGTTATCGGAAACCTGGCCCAACTATCATAACATTGATTTAAATCTGGGTTCTTGAGACTGAAATTAATTTCTTCATTACCTAATAGTACGAGGGGTCAGCGGCTAGTAAGCCGTGAAAAAATCACACAGCACCAATAGAAGAATATCCAGAAAACGACACAGTAACGGATGAAACATCACAACTTTAACAGATATACAGTACAGATATACTATTTAAAGAGCGATATGCTGTCCATGTTTGCAGTATCAGACGATTTTTATTTATTTATATTTTTACAAAGTTATTCTATTACATCGAGCACGTCACATCGTCAGTAGACACGTACCACCGGCGTGTACATATTTTTGCTTTCACCGCATTTCCACGAGCCGAAACAGCCCCTTAAACACTCCAATACGACACCCGAAGAGTATAGATACTATTTTTCTTTTTTCATGATGTCTACCAAATATTTATATAATTGCCGTCTCTTATTTTTTTTTCCTTTTTACGTAACATAAATTGACCAAAAGACCAATGCATTTTTTCTACATAGTACTTCATATGCTAATTGCATAATTCCGCTTCGGCACAAATCATTTCCTTGTGTGCGTATTTTGGTTATCAATAATCTCTGTGCATTGGCCAGTTAGCCTAATCCACTTCGCGATATTAAATTTGTTTGGTCTCCTGAACTATTCAATGTAATTCATATAAATAATTAAGACAACAAGTGTCTTAATCCTACAAAAGCATCAGAAAAAAATTGGTCGACATATGGCGGCAAACACAAAAAACATGGGCATTGCAATGATAGCAATAATAATTATAACAATAATCTTAATAATAATGCACCCATGCATGTGCTTATTTTAGTCCTTTCTCTTTGAGTCCCACTCCGTTAATGACTCTTTTTTTATCATGATTTAGCTCCTCAAAATAACCTAGTTTTTATTATAAAGAAAAATCAATAAAATGATGATATAATATTAATCATAACCTGCTTATTCTGTCATAGAAATAAAACAAACTGTACGCGAGAAGTTCGTTCTCATGCTAAAGTTGAGTTGGGAAGTTAGCAGAACAAGCCAAGTAATTATTTTACGACGTCATCATTTGTTGGTAAGTGAATCAAGCAGAGTAACAAAAAAGAATAGACATGTTTTAGTTGTTATTTCATACCGCAATGACCTGTTTCTCAGTCAGCAGCAGCAGCAGGGAAATAAGAACAATAAAACATATTTTATAGAAAAATTGTAAGTTCAAAGGAACTAATCAGTTTTTTTTTTTGACTCATGTAGAATCCGCTATTCAAATCTAACTTAGAGAGATCGCCTCTTTCCCAGTCTAGAAAGATATGCAAAAAAATGTTTGAATCCGTTTACGTTTTAAAAGTTAATAGAAGCCATTTTAAGAGACATACGTAAACGATAATTGCATTACGTTTAATAAGTATTCTAAGTAATCTAGTTTTTTTTTTTTTAATTTAAATTGAATGTTTTTGATTTTAATATATTTTATCTTCACTATTATTCTATGCCTTCTCCATAGCATGTTTCTCCCTTTTATAATTTGTCTTGTTCTGCGTGTCGTAGGTTCTTCCAATATAAATAGTCGTGGTACCGAGATACGACAAAGCACTAGACATGAAAAATAAGAAATCGCTCTATTAAATGTACTTATAATACGGCAAAGCTAGAGCAATCTCTGTTATTGAAATTTCCTGCCAGTAGGACGTACACAGGAAAGTATATATAATAAGTAGAAGGGTAATAGCATTATTCGAACAAATCGACGGCTTCTGTATTGACGTTTACGAAAAAAAAGTGCTGTCTCATTAAAGGATTTTGTTATTATTTGACTCAAACGGCAGGTCCTGTATAGACAGGATAATAGTTAGATAATAAAATAGTTACTTAGATGCCGCTCCTACAGTAAATAAGCGATAGGTTGAAATTGATGAACGAATCCTATGTACACAGACATATTTACATACACGTTAGTACACCAGACAATTATACTCGCAAAGTGAATAAGAAATGGGCACCTTATATCTAAATGAACGATTGGTAAGTCATGTAACTGAATTCAACAATTATATTTTCACTTCTATCTCTCCTCTATCTACCACATGATCTTTGTAGTTCAAGTACTTGACACTTGTTGCTACCTACAGGCTTACTTTGTAAAGCACAGATAGCTGCAAAAGTAGACTTTTGTAGCGAGATACTATATTATGTTGATACGTCGCTAGCTCCTCAAGCTCCTACAACTCCCTGAGACCTCTAAAGAACTTGTTACACTGATTAGTTCTCTAACTCTCCCAAGTTATTCAGAAAATAGTTCCTTTAGAGGAGGAAATCCATGTGTTCTTCCTATATTACTATAGTTTCCACCCGTTTATTTATTAATATAT